AGTAAGATTTGGGATGAAGAACAAGTACCATCAGACTGGGAAGAAGGACTTCTGATCAAGATGCTAAAGAAAGGTGATCTCAGCAAGTGTGGAAACTATGGGGCATCACTCTTTTCTCAATAGCAGCATCCTCAGCAGCAGTAGGTCTCAACATGCACAAAACAAAAAGCAAGATTCTCCGACACAACACAGTATGCAACAATTGGATCACACTTGACGGAGAAAGATGTAAGGACCTTTGCATATCTGGACAGAATCATTGATGAACACGGTGGATCCGATACAGATTTGAAAGCGCGGATTGGCAAAGCAAGAACAGCATATCTACAATTGAAGAACGTCTGTTACTCAAAACAACTGTCCATCGACCGAAACCAAAGTCAGAACTTTCAATACAAATGTCAAAACAGTTCTACATTATGGTGCAGACACCTGGTGAACTGTGAAAGCCATCATCCAGAACATACAAGCGCTTACTAACAGCTGTCTATGCAAAATACTTGGGATCCGCTGGCCAGACACTATCAGCAACAACCTACCATGGGCAATAGCACTTCTTTAAAACACGTAAACAGTTATTCTTCATTCTAAACCCTAATTTGTATTTTACAATAAGGCTTCACGTTGGATTTCTAAAATAACCACAAATCAGGAGTTACTATGTTTTTAATCATTGAAGACAATCGGCGTTTAGATCCGCTGATTAATGTTTTAACGGAAAGTTATCAGACTAAAGGTAAGTGAATAACAAAACATGTAACAATAGCTCAATGATATAATAGTGATCAAGGAGTTAAGTGACTATTTCATTCACTGCAAATTTGTCATCTTGAGGCATAATGCATGGATCAATTAATTTTCAATTTCACTTATATTTCGAAACAGCACGTTTGAATTGAATGAAATTGATTTGAATGTCAAGTATGGACGATAACGTGTGGCGAGAAAAATTGATGGATTTCAATAAGTGTTTGCATTCAGACATGTGCAAATGGTGCTGTCACTGGTTGAAGCAAAGTGCACTGCATCGAATAGTTCTACAGTTTCCTTTCATAAAGTCAGTTTGATGATTGAGATCAGTGCAAGAATGTCAGTTGTTCTCAGACTAAATATCAAATTTCAACTATGTTAATTCGGTGGAACAACAAAACAAGTGTGACATTTTTTCCTCCAATCATCAACGACAATTTTCTTGAACACATCTGTACAATGTAAGATCAATTCTAAAACTCGCTATGATAAATTTTAATTCGGAGACTTCACTTGTCCATAACCTCAATTTATCGGATATGTGCGGAAAGCAGAGATTTCGGAAGTAAGGCAATCATTTTCAAGGTGATCGCAATTACATGGAGTGTTTTCGCAATTTCAATGCTTCGGGAAAATTCGAAACCTGATGTATCAAAAGAAAAAGCGGACGTTTACTAGTCAATGCACGGTCAACTGACTGACATACAGTATTTTTCGAGACTAATATCATCTCATTAGTCGTTTTGTATCTATGTGCTCAGGCAGATTCCATCAATGAGAAGACTTCAATATAGTTCCAAATAGGGCCCTCAATCTATTCTATCATTCAAGGATGAACCGATGCGTAATTATTATTGGTTGGTGAAATATCACTCGTGACGAATGCTTGAACATAATTTAATAACTGACCACAGTTACACATGGATTTTTCAGTTTCATAAAACAAAAGTGTTGTTTTCACGTGTGAAGATAGTCGACGCTGATAAAATATTGTTTAACATACCCCTGATGGCTTCATGACCCACTAATATGCCACTTTTAGTCTATTCTACACAATGCATATACATTCATAAGAGACTGATCAATCGCAGTCCGAAACACCAGTAGGATGATTCAAACAACGATTCAGAAATGGCAATATTCTTCACTATTTAAAGACTCACTAATACATTCCAACTGATCAACATCTACCACGTGACCACAAATGGAGTGGATTTTCCCGCATGCAAACATAAAACTCAACCAACATGGAGATGACGTCTTATGGCTAACATGATAATTATTTTGCATGTCAGAACATTGCACGTGTGTTCTTTTGACTGCGTTGACTTATTGAAACCAGACACCATTCTTTATGTGCTTTATCTGTATCATGTGGCTTCAGTATTCTAATTATAATCTATGGTCCATCTTCTACATATATTAAGTTGATCAGTTCACTGGTTTCTCTAGTTGAGTTTGCTTATGCTTGTCAGTTGTGTTGACATTTTGATCGAAGTTCATGTGTGACCGTTCTTTTCAAAGATCACTATCAGACTCTTTTTTATTTTTTTGCTGTTTTGATTCATAAAGCATGAATACTGGCCATCCAAATACTCGTTGGGAATATAAATTTTTACTTTCAACCTTAGTGTCCTGCTGGCTAACAACGGTGAGTTGTGTAGAAAAGGTGGACACATTAGAATATGATCTCCGCTAACCGTGTCCTACCGGTTTGCTTCAACTAACTCATCCACCAGATTCTGCAATTTCAACTAAACTTTTTGGGGTGACACATATAATCTATTATGTGAATTTGAACATAATTGAAATTCTTTATCTATTCAGCACACACTATCCAACTTAAGATTTTATGAGACTAGCACAGGTTGGTCACCTGTATCTCCCCTCTATAATTTTCTGAACAAGGCAGAGAATTAATAGTTCAAGTTAATTATATTATCCTGGTCAAGATAATATGAGAATCAATTTCGATTAAAGATCCTTGTTAAACACCAAATTTCCGAAATGAATTAGTTCGGACTTATTCACTACAAGCTAACTCAATGCTGAACGCAAAGAAGAGATCTATTTCTCTATACTTACCATTCATCATTCATAGCCTGAGTGTCTACATGTGCTGATATTTCTAAGAGTTTGAGATGAGGATTCTATAGACGTCTTTGAAATGAACATGTGGCCTTTTCGAGTTGTCAAATGAAATTGAACATTCACGTAAATGATGAATAGTTATTTTCTCACTTCATGTAAAAGCATATCTGTACTAGGATGTCTGCTTTTCTTTGAAGTTGACGGTGCTAACGACCTATCATGTGATCAAGTGGTCATGACAGTACAAAGAAATATGTGAATTGCTACTATTCAAATAACATTGTCTCTTAAGTAAGTTAATAAAAGGAATTAACCAAAATTAACTATTTCGAAATCGGTTGTGGGATAGTTGTTATACTATGAGTGGTTTCAAAGGCGAATTAAATGTTTCATTCATGCTTTCATCACTACACATATTATTACTGTAATTATCATTGTTGTCATCTGTTTAATAATATAGAAGTGAACGAGATGTTTCCTTGTATTAAATGGTTCAACGACTTTGCTCAGCTGACCGTCCCATCTTTGTCGTCTATACATAAACTACCTTGCATGATCAATATTATTCCTTGTCCAGAAAGTCAATGAGGGAGGATATGGGTGATCTACTTACGCTTGTCTCATGAGGTCTCAGGCTGGATGGTATGCACTGAATAGATAAATAATACCAATCAGGTCGAACTTCACGTCACAAATTATAAATGTTATACCCTAACACTTTGAATCGAAAATACAAAATTTGATGAGTCAAATAGTTCAAATGTTTTCACGTTTGGTTATAAAACAAATTGTTGGGACACGGTGAAACAGAGATCGCATTCTAATACCCTCACTTTGTCTCCATAACTCATTGTTCAAAGCGAATGGGACAATGTGATTAAGAGTAAGAATGTCTATTCCAAAAGAGTATTTAGAGACCCAGTACTCATGCTATATGAACAAGAATAATCACAACCAAACATCAATCTCAGAGAACGCAGCTCTACCAAAATACAAAAACAGATCAGTGACTTAGTTCCTTCCATTGATAGAAAATTAAGTGGCGAGACTCTAATTTACGGACGAACTTCAAACGATTATTAAATGACCTTCAGAAATATTGGCCAATCAACAAAGAGTCAGCATAGAGTAAAAATATATATAAAACCAAAGAAATAAAGTGGATACACTTATTGCACGAAAACAATCAAACGAAAATAATCGATAAACATTCAATCAGCATATATAAATAAAGACGTCGGAAAATAGTGTCGAAACCTGTTGCTTCTTAGTTAAATTGTCTGTTAGAAAAACGTGATAACTAATCAATTAGTAAGCCGGTTTATGTGTATAACCGTTGTTCAGTTTCAAGTACAGCTAATCACCAGTATGCTGTGGTTTATTGTTGAGAATACTATTTTATTGTTCGTCATTAGTCATACGAATAATCTTAGACATAATGATTATGTGCCAATTACTCAGTGTTTATGAAGTCATTACATTCTACATTCAATTGTTTCTTCTGGTGTAAAGTTATGATTGAATGAATGGATATAACATTACATCTGCACTGTTTGTTCGTTCATTTGTAAAAGATTAGTTTTAAACACTAGCGAGAAGGAACCATCTACGTTTTCGGAAAATCCAACTTTGATAATTTTCAATGAATTGTGTGGTATTTTTTGACCAGAATTATACATGAATGCATCATAACGATCTACAAGACAGTGACGCAACGTCAGGAGATACAGTCCCATGGTAGTCAGTCACCAATGATTGACTATTACTGAATCCCATATGTACCATTGACTTGGAATCAGGGTTTTATCATAAACAAAAGTTATCACTAAGCACAAATTATAAGTAAACACGTTTTGTGATTATCTTATTTTTCAAGTACTTGTAATGGTAATGATTAACAAATTAACCTTTGAAATCAAGATTTCCATTTACATTACTATTTCATTTGTAATCTTATTGTGTATAAGAACTTTGATCAACATTCTGAAGTGATCTGTGATGATTTGTATGTTGAGTCATAACTCTATTGAAGTGTTACATTTGGTTGTAGGCGAAAACAAAGTGGGTGAAATAATAAATGTGATATTATCATATCATTGTAACTCAAAGTCCACTATTGCAGTTTAGTATATATAAAACAATATTATATGATGATTGCTGTATTCGAAGAAATATACTCACAAGAGTTCTTTAGATATGCTTACGTCTGTGTTGTGTATCGCTTCACTGGTAACTCTTCTCGATGCTCGTATTTCAATAAATAAAGAAAGATTTGAACCATTGTCAGATGACATCATCTCGTATATCAATCAACATGTAGGTTCTTTTTTGTAGTTATGTTGTAAATGGTATACATTTTAAAGTGATTTATGTTCTAACTGTGTATGATCGGTTGGATTAGAATAGATCTACTACTTTATGATGTAAGTAGCTTGTGTACGAAACGAGATTTGATTGAGGGGAATGTGCAATCACTCAGATGATTTCTCCTCTTAACAACTAGAATTCACCTAAAAAGTATTTAAACGACAGGTTACATTGTTTCGTACGCCATCAGCCTAATACTGATTTCATTTCATATATCTAAGTTCAATACAACAACTGACAGTTGAAAGAGGAACAAATCTAAATCTTCATATTTGAATTCTATTTTTGGTTCAAGATTGTCAGAATTGTTTCTCATTCAATCATGATTTCAACTTTTTCATTCTTCAGCCAAATGCTGAATGGAAAGCTGAGAAAAGCAAACGTTTCCACTCACTGGATGACGCACGCATTCTGATGGGTGCAAGAAGAGAGGAACCAGAATTAAGAAAGAAGAGGCGTCCCACAGTTGACCATAATGATTGGAATGTAGAAATTCCATCAAGCTTCGATTCAAGGAAGAAATGGCCTCGTTGTAAAAGTATAGCGACCATTCATGATCAATCACGATGTAGATCATCTTGGGTGAGTTACAGTGATCGCATTGATTGAAAAATGTATACAAAGTTGGCATGACTATGAATATTTCTACACATCAGTGTGTTTGTAGGAGATCTCACCGAACGTCACACAGTATCAGAGTCAGATAATCTAGAGAAATTGTTTCTTTGAAAGCTGTATGACAGCACATAGATCAATGTTGAGTATCACATCTGTGAACATATGTCCGGTGACCAAAGTAATTAACGAAACAGGTCATGTTGAACTGAAAAGGCTTCCAAATATTGACAATTCATTCCACGTAAATACGCTACAAAACCTAAAACGTCTTGATGTTGTCATTGCTTTTTTGCAGGCTTTCGGTGCTGTCGATGCCATGAGTGATCGAACCTGCATACAGTCACGTGGCAGACAATCTGTGGAACTAAGTGCTGTGGATCTAGTGAGTTGTTGCGAAGGTTGTGGATTTGGTTGTGATGGTGGATTTATTGGTGCTGCTTGGGATTATTGGATAGGGGAAGGTATTGTTACCGGAAGTTCGAAAGAGAATCACACAGGCTGTCAACCATATCCATTCTCAAAATGTGAGCATCATGCCAAGGGGAAATATCCTGCATGTGGCAAAAGACTTTACAAGGCTCCTCGATGTAAAAAGACTTGTCAGAAAAGTTACAAAATCCCATACGCCCAAGACAAGCATCGAGGTAAGTAATGTGAAAACGTTGACTTGTCACTAATATAGATCGATTTCAATATATTATCAAAGAGTTGCTTACAAGTGATGCTTCTACATGCGAAATTATCCTTTTTGAGATTACTTTTGAAAGTTCTCTATTGGATGATAACAGTCACATTTTCATTATCGCTTTATTCATTTGTTAGGTAAATTATCCTACAATGTTGCTGACAATGAATTGTCTATTCAAAAAGAAATCATGAAGTATGGACCAGTAGAAGCAAGCTTCACCATTTATGAAGATTTTCTAAATTACAAATCTGGGATCTATGAACATATTACTGGGGAACCAGTCGGTGGACATGCCATACGTATAATCGGATGGGGCGTAGAAAAAAACACACCTTATTGGTTGATCGCGAATTCGTGGAATGAAGACTGGGGTGAAAGTGGATACTTCAGAATACTACGTGGTCATGATGAATGTGGCATCGAATCCGAGGTAACAGCTGGTCGGGTTAACTAATTACACTATCTTTAAACATTATCATAAAATTTTACTTAGAGTGAAGTCATTACAAATGTATACTGAATACTTCTGAGAAACGTTCTATATTCATATTATCTTTTCAATCATCTTATATTATAAATAAACGGTTACGAACTCTCACTAAACTCTTCACTGAATAAATGTCTTCGCTAGGCGGATTCTCGTTACAAGACGTTTATCCAGATTAACAAGGCGGCTAAAAGCTGAATTATTTTCGATGAACTACTAAACCGTTGTCTATGTCCATTCATTGAACGAGTCCATGTTCATTCAACTTACATGTTTATTGAATTCAACTCATACATTTAATGTCACAAGTTTTAATCTAATTTAGAAAACACAAACTTCAGGTATCGAATCTATTTTCAACCTGTAAAGTGGTACGTGTTCTCACTAGGTTAGATGAAAATCAATCATTTCCATCTACGAAAATTCACCACACATTAATTTAGACTTGTAAGTAGCATAAGATTAGTAATGATGAAATGTTGTGAAATTGTGTAAATAGAAGTACAACTGTACTGAACGATAACAATAGTAGGGACTGCTGAATGTAATTGAATACGAAATCACAGAATCACTTGATAATATCTGAGAACCATACAGTAAATACTTCATTTCCAAAATGTCAATCAATCGTGTCAAACTTCATTGTTCCTTCGTTTCCCATCAATCATTTTCTGTTCTCGTTCTCTTTTTCTTCCATCTTCTTAACATTACACTTTATATTAGTACCTAAGAATGAGAGCTGCCAAGATTTATTGTCTGCTATGGTAAACAGATTGAGTGGACACTCAGCATGCAACAGCTTTTTGCAGATAGGAAATGTGTCATCTATTATTCCATAATGATGTGTAGTTCCATCAATTGCATGCTTAAGCTTTATCTAACTCAGGTTCTTCATAAATATATCAGTCGGAATCGGGTTCACGGCCCTACCCATGAAAACTATCAACTTGACCGTAAAGTACATTGTTGAACCGATTGTTCACTTTTGGTACCCAAGATTGAGAGCTGCTCAGACTTATTAATTGGAAAATGAGGAGTACTGAATATTGACATACGATCCCGGCTGTTCATTCCATAAAGATCATTATAAACAGAGTAGTGACGTCGAAAGATACCATGAGTATATCAAGAAATTTTGAGCTGTCAAGCCTTTGTGAAAATTCAAAACTAGTCTTCATACTGTAGGTAGCTAACTGCTTGCGGACTGGTCCTAAACACCATGTGAGCCAGTAGATGACTTTTTGAAAAAGTGATCTAGTCATAGATAATAATGACTCGACCAGGATGTTAGGTTTCTATATTGTTATTATTATTCTGTCAGTGTGTCTTGTTATGAGGTCTTATTCAAACCAATTCTTACTTTATGTACTTCAGAAAATCTCCTCATCACCGATCTCTTCCTGTCACCCAATTCTCAAAACTTAAGTAAACCCTCAAAATCCTGTCTAGTTATTACGTAACCCATTTGAATATATTCTAATCCTAAACAATTACCAACTCATAACTATCTCGTCGGATGGTTTGAATCTTACGTGAACTCTTTACCATTTCTCTAATTACCACACTATTTATCTTATATATTTCCAAACATCGCTCAATTGCTGCCTTACCCACCTGCCTGTTTTTAATTCTATTTCCAAATGACCTCATAATTGTTCTTGCATAGATATAATAATAATTATTTAGTTTCAAGTAACAGTTTGTTACATGAGGCATGCCAGTTTACAGGCAAGGTCAAATTGTTACAACTGATATAATATCCACTGCAGTAAATTCTGGCCAGCCAATATTCATGAAGGAATGTTTAAGGTATGACTAATGAAATTAATTTTCTTTTATTAGTTATTTGTTAAGCAACAGCATTTTAATAGGCTAAAGAAAATAAGTGTAAATAAGGTATGAGTGGAAATACAACTGACAAATTGAGACTATTCAGAAAGGAGCTGAAAGTATGAGATTATGGGTGGTCATAAAATATAGTGCTAAAAACAGTATTTTAATATACAACTGACTATCTTCCTTTTTTATCGAAGCAGTTGGAGCCGTATTCATTTCTCTGTATTATTATTATTGTTTTTTTTAAATATAACATAGGGTCTTGAGTAGGCTTCGTCTATTAGCGAATTGTCTAGTTTGCTTGCAATAGGATTACTGGGTAGGAAGTGAAACCAATTCAACGTTCGTAACACGATTGAAAGAGGTATTTTGCATGATTAATCAGCATTAATACCTTAAGTTCGTGATATCCCACTGAACCATAAGGAGCTGTAATTTAACAAGATGTTCTGCCCCACAGACATGGGTGGATTGAAGTTATCTCCCCACCATCATGTCTGCTGGTCAGTAAGGCCACTCTCCCTCCGTTTGTGATGTTGAGCTCTCTCACGTTTGTGATAAGTATGAATACTGCTTTAATCAAAACCCATGTTTGGAATACACTGTCTCTACTAGGTCCATGTTACAAGCAAATCGGATAGTTAAAAAGTTTGTTTTATGGGTTAGAATACCAAATAGTATATCACACTTCTATGAAGATGACTAATGTTTTAAAGAAGTAAGGACTAATAGCAAATCAAAGGACATGAGAGGGTATAAAATTGTAGAGAAAAAGAAAAAGATATTAGGGTAAGAAAAATAAAACATTGAGAAAGTCACAAGACTTTGTGGCCAAATTTCGAGCTTTGTATGATCGGCCGTAGTAGGTCAGCATCCATAAGATTAGTGAATTATCTGTCTACTTGCAATAGAAAAAAAAGGCATGACTTTTAAGAAGAATAATGTACATTTAACCTGTAGAGAGATTTGGAAACTGAAAGTGAGGGTTAGGATCATAAGGCCATGATTAATAAACAATGAATAATAGGAAAGGATAAGTCATATATTCTGTGATTTGGTTATATTCATATCAATAACAGTCGGGTTTGTTATATTCTCGTCCTGTCTAGATACTAGGCGGTCCGTAATAAAGTGTCTCATTGGTGGGCGGGAGTTCAAGGAAATTTCGAAGTTCTTTAGAGTCTAGAAATAGGGTTTTTAGCTTTTTGAATCTGGTAAACGTATCACAGTTACGGATAGGCATTGGCAGCCTGTTCCACAATAAACTATACCGTACTGTAAAAAACTTACAACGCATTTGTTTTTGGTGTTTTATGGTAAGTAGTGTATATGCGTTGTTTTTAAGTCTATAGGCTGGGTCGTGGTTCATAGTCGAACAGGATGTTAGAAAGGAGAGCCCATGTATTGCTTTGTAGAGAAATATTAGATTGTTCTTTAGCTTACGGTGTCATAAAGTGTCTAAAGATAGATGCTTACATCTATCTGTGTAATCGAGATTCGAGTTACATCCTAGCAGTTGGCGTGTGAAACGTCTTTGAACATCTTCTACTCTTATCTTGTCTGTGATATTCATGTAAGAGAGCAGTATTCAAGGGAGGGCGGTACACACATTTTGTAGAGCGTAAGCTAAGCCTCTGATGTGAAAAACTTCTCATTATGAAACGAATTAGCCGTCTAGATTTAGACATAATAGAGGAGACATGTTCTTCAAAGTTCAAGCTTCCTGTGTAATTAATTTCTAAATCGTGTATTGATTCGAGTGTTTGGACTCTACATTCATTTAAGTGAAGTCGCGGTTTATAGGGATGCTTTCCAAAGTGCATGATACTGCACTTGTTGAGGTTAAATGGTAATTGCCATTTTTCACTCCAGATAGGTTATTGAGGTCGTTTTGGATCTGAGATACACTTTCGCTTAGTGTCTCAGGCTTATAGCTGTATACTGTTTTAAGATCATCAGCATATAAGTATGGTTTCCCAAATTCTATGGTGGACCTAATACGCTTCCCTGGATGACTCCACTGGTGATTGGTCAAGGTGACGAGAGACAGTCACTGTACTTTACCATCTGTTTACATTCTGTTAAGAACGAAGCAAACCATGAGTACAGTGGGTTGTTTATTCCGATGGACTTTAGTTTGACGAGAAGCCTTTTGTGTGGGACCTTATGAACGGCTTTCTTAAAAACTAAGAATAGGTGTGATACAAGAAGTTCGTTGTCTCGTTTCAGAGTTATATCGTTGAGGTAGTCCACTAGGCATTTATCGCATGATCTGGACCTAGGAAATCCATGCTGGGAAGTCGAGATGAGATTATTAGTAAGTAGATGTTGAACTACCGCCACCTTAACTACTTTTTCCATCACTCTAGATACCACTGAAGTTATGTTGATTTGCCGGTAATTGTCAACATTTGCTTCAGGTCCTGTTTTAATTTTGGGAATGATATGTGTAGTTTTCCAGGCAGTAGGGTAACACGCTGAAGAGAGTGATATCGCGAATAGTTTGAGAAGCAAAACACACATATCATCACCTCCACGTTTTAGCATGCTAGATGGAATACCATCTGGTCCATCAGTGTAGGAGTGTTTCAATGTACTGATTGCCTTGGAGATATTTTGTACACTGAATTCTACATTAGTAATTTCACAGGGAGTTACTGGGATTGGTTCTGAATCATTAAATGGTTTTTCGTTAGTTAGTGAGAAACAAAAATGTTCACTAAATAATTCTGTGATAAGTTTGGGATCTTCGTATACTTGTTTGCCTTTAATGAATATACTCCCTCTCGATTTAGAGCGTTTAAGTTTATTTTGGAGTAGTATGGTGAGTGCAGAGGAGTTATTATTAAGTTCAACTGCACGTTTTTCCTGTACGACCACTTTCTGTGTACTTATTGCCTCTGTTCGGACAAGTATTTCTGTCATCGTTACTAAAGAGGAAAAGTCATTTAAGTTGTGGAATCTAGTACAATGTCTTTGAAGACGTCTTCTTGTACTGACCGGTATATAGAGATCTTTGGAGAACGTAGGTCTACAGTATTCTAAAGGTGCGATGTTGATGATGATACTTTTGATGTTGCGATAAAATATATGGGTTAATGTGTCGGTATTGTTTGAGGTAAAGAAAGTTCTGCAATCAGTGCTTCTTAGGTAATTGTGGAAGTTATTATAATCAATCTTGCGATAGTTCCAACGAAGTGTTACGGTTTTACGTCTACTGGTTGTGTATTTTATATTAAGGCTGTATATGACAATGTTATGATCACTACCTGGAAACTTTTTCCTAATATACAAAGTATCGGGAATGAGGCTACTGGTAAAGACTAAGTCCGGGATGTTTTGATGTCTGGTAGGGCTATATAGGAAATAATTATCAAGAGATATACTTCCGTCGGAAATATTACTGTTTGTCCATGCTTCAGATATCATTATAAGTGATGGTTGATATATGGATACAAACAGGGCTGAATCCGTCTTTTTATTGCAGATCGATCTAGCGTTGATAAGACATATATTAGGCAAGGGGCCTACTAAGTTAAAATGTGTGAGGGTATCTCGGATAAAGTCGTCGTAACCCTCGCGGGTGTGAGACGAGTTTGAAGTGAAGAATTGAGTGTTCTTCATTAGCTCGGTATTTTGATACCCAGACTTAGTGGGGGATGTATCAAATGAGCTAGTGAAGTTGGTTGGGGAGTTTACCCAACAGGAGGGGTGGGAGTATTCTTGATTGAAATTGTACAGGGAAAACAAATTTTTGGTTTGCATGTGGTTTGAAATAACTTGGGCTATATGCTTCAACAGAGGTGTCACTAGGGGTCTTATTCCGAAAAAATCTTGTACAGGCCGACGGTGAAGTGTATGGTTATTTGCAAAATAGTCTTGATGCTTAGACTCGTGATCTCTGTTATGGCTATTTTCGTTAGCGTAGAAGAGATCTGCTGCGCGTAACTGTAAGGAGTTGCGACTGTTATTATACATGGGTTGGTACTTGAGGGTGTGGAGTGAGAAACCTATTATTACCATTCTTATTAATGGTTTTAAGCTTCAGTGGGTGATTTGGGTGGCCAGTTATCTAGTAGTTTTCGTTAGTCTGCGTAAAAGACGACTTGTTACGATGAAGCTCACCACCCATTTTGCAACTTAGAAGTGTTGAAAGTAAGTTATACGCTAGCAGCGAGGAGAACCTGTTCACTGTTCTTGGGATCCCTGTTGAGCAGTTGGGTTCAAGCTCACGTATTTCCCCATTCTGTATCTTGAGTTTTGTCTTCCTACCCTTTATTGTGACGGCTGTAGTCTCATTGTCTCTGTGAGATGAACTTAGGTTCATTCAAGTGTACTTGTGGGGTATCTTTAGGAGGACAAAATTTTAAGTGTATAGGTTTAGTTGGATGTGTGTCGTCACACGACTCACATTTAAGTATGTGGAGTGGTGTCATGCTTATTGTTGGTGTGTTTTAAACTATTTGCTATGATGCAAACTATCTCCGGCTGATTATTAACTGTAACATTACCATTCAATTCTATCGCTTCACGTCTTCTCACATGACGTTGACAGGGCGCAAGTTCTGGAGTAACTTTTATATTCTTGTATGGTATAAGTGAGCTGATATTTTTGCTTGAATCAATAAACTGCTTGACATCGTTACAACAGCCAAACATAAACAGGAGGGGGCAAGTTGATTTGTCATACTTTTTTCTAAGGAGGATTACTTTGCAGTTAACGTTCGGCATACCGCATGCTCTAAGGCAAATATCCCTTAACTTAGATGGGTATGTGCGGACGGGGAGGTTGTACACAACTGCATTGAAGGAGGACATCACTCTCTTCGTCACTTCTTCAGCCAAAAAATCCAAAATGCACTCAGTTTTAGTGAGTTGCTTAAGATTTCTGTCTGTATCGAGGCCCCATATATGATTAAGGGGTGCTAGTTGCTCAAGTTTGCCGTTAATTTCGGATAGAGAGTTTTGTAGCTGTCGGATGTCATTACTATATCTATCAGTATTTTGGTGTGTATGAGGTGGACCATTGGACTCTTTAGTTTTTGAAATTTTAGATTTAGACCTTGGTAGAACATCCTGTCTAGTAGACTGTGCTGACTTTTCGATGCACGTTGGTATAGTGTCTTGTATGTCAACCAGTCTTACCGTTGGCATACTGCACGTAGAGATAGAGGGGCTAGGACATGGAGAATCTGGTGACGATAGAGACATTTGTGTACAATACACATATTGTTCAGTAGTTAAAGGTTCGACATTTTCAGGCACTTAGTCGTCATTTATAGGGGTTACAGATTTGGACCTTTTATTTAGCTCAAAAGTTGGTGAAATTTCTCTTTTACTGCAGTTATTGAACATGATTTGAAGATGGGTGAGCACAGTGCTCGTTAAATTAAATACAAAATCTGAGTATTAGTTGTTATTAAGTATTAACTTGGTTAATACTAGGATTAGAGACTGCGAGTATATAATAAATTGTAGATCTATTTAAGAATTAAGTCCGTCAATTGTCCGTCTCTAAACAACCAAAACAGGGGAATAAATGGGTAAATGCTTTCGATGAGAGAGAGGAAAAAGCATCAGAATGTCGCCTTTTTCGCCTGTCCGAAGGAAATACTGCAGATTTTGCCTAAATATCCGCCGAATTCCCTCTTTTTCGCATAAATATGCGCTTATCCGTCTATTTTTCCCGAAATATCCGCCGAATTGTCCACATCTCGCCCAAATTTCCGCGGAATGGCCGACATCTAGCCTGAATATCCGCTGAATCGTCTACTTTTCAACTAAATTTCTGTCGAACTGCCTACGTTTCGCCTACATATATAAGCCTGATTTTTTACCTTTCGCAGAAATACACGCATAACTGCCTATTTCTGATCCATTGGCATAACCCTAAATGTCTTCTATGTCAGCCTTTATTCCAAAAACAAAGCACACTAAAACTGCAAGCCACGAGAACACTGGTATATTTTCAAATACTTTTGTTGTAAAGGAAAATCGTATCATTGTACAAAATTATAGCAGAAGCTTTAGCATCAATCGTTTAGCATAACCATGGTAATTGCCAATTCATTGTTGTTAGAAGAGATCTGCAAAAGATGAAGCAGGTGATGTATTATTGACAAGGCATGTGCATTTAATCAAAATTTCACTGAAACTCAAAAGCATTTTCAGCACTTCTTTAGTTTCCCATGTAAGTAATAAAGTAAGCTCTTTTACAAAATAATGTTTATTAAAAATTATGTAGAAAATCAAGTAAATTGCACGGACTATTGCCTTTAGTCACGTCCGTTCGGCTATTGAGAACTGAAATAGTCGTTCCGTGAATTCTGAAGTTAAAAGAACGAAAGAAGTCACAACGATATCTCAATGACATGTCTTGTCAGAGCCAAATGCTTTGGGCTAAAATTAAGGAAAGTCGTCACTTTCAATTAGTACATATATGTACGTATATGCAGGTATACCTGCCCGTCTTTTATGCTTTATCACTTTGTCTCTGACATCGTGAAAGTAACCTTGTGTTGCCATGTCGTAGAGCTTCACGAGGTCTTTTCGTTTACAGATGATGATAAAAAGCGACTTGTTAATGCACCTGAAGTTTAAATACTAAATATGGGTTACTCAGTATGCAGAAGAAAAAGCGGCATTTTTGAAGTGGTCGTTTTGAAGAAGCTCCAAGTAACGTGAAGTTGCTAGCAACTTCAGGTGTCAATAGGTACGACAGAACATACCGCACTGAGGTTTTCTGGTCATCATCCGATAACCAGGTAACCACTGCCATTTGTAATAGCAACAAATTCGATCGAATAAAAAAAGCAGTTTTTCTTCTTTTTCGGGGTAACATGTACCAGATGTACAGGGTAGGATGACGACCACAGCATAATACACCTTGCAAAAGAGCAAGTCGAAGAATACCTAAACCACGTGAAAAAATGTTACCACTTTCGAAGTTTGTGGGTTGAGTATCTATGTAGCTATTATTGATAATATAAGTTATCGTAATATTTTTCCGTTATCATCATCATCATCATATCATACCTCGATATTACACTGTACACATATTAGTGGTGGTAAGCAGCTAATATTATTCATTATTATTATTTGAACACATACATAGTGGGAAAAAGTCGCCGAATACATATGAGCCACACAATTAAGTTGATTTGTGCGTGGGATGTGATACTGCCCAGATGCTCAGACAGGAGCACATGGTTTTTTTAGAGGGCAACACTCGGAGTCTTCGACCTTAAGGTTTATTCATCAAGCAAGTGGAGCAACATTGATAGATGCACTTCCATAGTAACTAGTGACCAACCACTGGTTTGTAAGCAATTTGATGCCTCAGGATACTAGAGCCAGCCCATGTGCACCATTGGTTTGGAATCAGGGTTTTCCAACTCCCCGATGTAGACTCTACATGTTCACCAACCCGGTAAAAGCGCTGGATATTTGCTTTTCGTCCTCTTAATTTTATAGGCAACATCCTCAACACGAGAAGGCAGTGTGTAAGACTTTTCTGGCATTGGTTGTATGCACGTAGCTACTTGAGAGCACTTCGATAAAAAGAGCCGATTCTCTTTAGTCTCGGCCGTACCAGAGCACGTGAGAGCTAGATAAGCATACGACAATGCAACCGTAAACTTTCTCATTAACCTTTCTCAATTATTACTTGTTTACGGTGAACACTAGTACCTTATCCATCATTATCGTGTTACGTTCTAATATTTTTTTACGAAACATTTTTATGTGGTCAAGATTATCTCAAAATAAAAGTATGTACTACTGAGTTGTGAAATTCTATTAATTTCCATCCAAACTAACTGGTACGATGTTTATAATGGAATGAAACGTCCAATAACTGATATTTTCTTTCTTTTCCAAGCATATCAGAATTCTAGAAAACATTGGTTGAATAATTTTCTTTCAAGTGAGTACTGGGTAAATAATTGATATTACTTTGGAACTATTGTCTTGTGTCACGATGAAATGCCTTCAATCTAACAGAGAGTGAGAAACCCATCATTGGTGAAAAGATATAAGAATAAATTTGTAATTGTTACAAGATTCCCCTTGAAATTTTTGTTGAGGATAACGGTTAGTAAGTGATAAGTATTCTACGCTTATGTCAAGTGGATTACCTAGAACCTACCCTACACAAACCATGTTGGCACCACCGAAAGCTGACTACCATCTTCTTTCATCTTATACACCAAAAAATCAGTACTGACATCGGTTTAATTTCAAATTGATGAACATGTTAAGAGTTTAATGTTAGAATAAAAAACACACCAATGACGCATAAAATACTTCATGCGTACAGTTCTCTCAACGGTAACACGATTTTTACAATTGAATGATCATTAGGTAGTGACTAATGCCATGTATTTCAAGTCCCTCTTCGTGTTAATCGAATCCTATCGGCAAATTTGAAATGTAGATAATTAGTCTAGGTGACGCTACATCGCTTGCATTATGTCGAGATGTAACGAGGTGGTTAGAGATAACGATCGATTTAAGAGCCAACTGTGTTTAGAGCAATTGGTTCTCTTCATCATCATATGAAAATACGCCAATAAATTGAGAATCTTCCGTGTTAGGTAGGTGACCATTTATAAGAACCTAAGTAAAATTCTATGTAAATGACTCAAATTCAAAACGTTCCTAATACTTTTTTTACAAGTTTATTTATTATTCAGGACTTTCATAAGATTATCTATTCAGTCCATTTATGTAAACATTCAACATTGGTACAAACATAATATAAACGCATATTTTCTTCCGCTTTCAATGTCTGTGATTGAAAAAATACAGCTTCTTGTTTACCGCATCGACGACATATATGATCTTCTGTTCGAGGCAGTGTTGGATCATGAACAACATCCGGCACAATTAAAGCCAATTCACTTTAGATGGATAAAAGAAATACTATTTTATTAAAAAAATATTCCATGAATAAATTAACAGGAAAAGTTTATAATTTGAAGTTGTACATTTCATAATACAGTGTTACATTGACGAGACTATAAAACTGCCAGTGAATATACCTCCGGGCTAAATACCCTGTTGGCTGAACATTAATTGGATTAATGCATTCTTGGTGCACGATTGCTTTGGCTAATTCTTATCCAGTCAACAATAAATACACTAACGTTTTCCCTACTGTGCTCATTACTTCCATCTAACCTTGTTATTGGAATATAATCTCTTTCCTGTTCAACTGTGTTCTGATTTGTGGAATTTTCAGGTGAATTGGCGTTCAAGAATATTAGGCAACAGGAATAGCTGGGTTGTAGTAAGAGAGAATTAAAACACTACTTTTTGAAATTGTATAGGCTAAACTCCTTATTCAAACATCATATTGTCAAGAAACCAGCAGTCATTGTATATTATTGAAAACGTATGCCGTGTTTGTGATACTTATACGGAAACTTAAACTTTGTACAGTGAGGCGGTATGACATGATTGTTCAAAGTTGGGGCAGTATGGTCACTCGGTTGGAGTCCCTGATGTTGAGAAACTAAGTAAATTGAGACTGCACCAGTCGTTGGAAAATAGAATGCAGAGACGAACAAGTTAAACAAATAATATGATTCATCTCGGAATTGCACTAAGCACTGGTTATATTCACACTGGAATCCCGTCACTGTCAAAATGGTGATAATCTGAAGCAACTTCTTCTCATCTAAATACGCTGAAACTACTTTACCAAGATATGTGTGACTGAAATATCCCATATTTCCTTTGATGATCCTCCTTAGTCAGGAGATCCAGTCTCATGGTAGCCGGTCGTCAACAATAGATTCATACGCCATTCATTCCTTCAGGGTACTTGAGCCTATGTGCATCATTGGTTCGGTTCTGGGTTTTCCAAATCCCCTAGCCGGATCCCCCATATCCACAAACCTTGTTAAAGTGCTAGACCAGTTAAAATATACTTAAAATGACTAATTATAGTGAGTCGATTACGATAATTATGACTTAGTAACGAAGATATTATCAGTGAACACAAATCGTCTACGACAACTGAATTGAAAGTTCGTGAACAGGATTCGTACTGAGTAAACTCATGTTAAACAAAAACAAAAAACAATTCATCTTAAATCAATACTGATTTCCTTCCTTTTATAGTGTTGTACTTGAACCTCCCATATATACTGGCCGGTGACCAATGCTCCATTGAGAGTAACAGACATACTTACCTACGCCTGTTACTCTTCTTGAAGGAGCATAGGCCGCCCTCAACAGCATTCTCCATCCAACTCTGTTCTGGGAAGTTATTCCTAGTTGCTATTCATCCTTTTCACATCTGCTAAATTTCTTGACGTAATATGTTCCTTGGCCTTCCTCTTTTCCGCTTTCCATCGGGACTCCATATTAAGGGCTTGCATCGTCATGCAGTTTGATGATTTCCGTAATGCATGTCCTATCCACTTCGAACGTTTTTTCTTCTTCTGCTGGAAGCTGGTTTGTTCACTTCCACAGAAGGATGCAGCTGATGGTATCCGACCAGTGCATGTTGAGTATCTTGCGTAGACAGCTATTTATAAATACTTGTACCTCCTTCATAATGGCTATAGTAGTTCTCCAAGTTCCAGCTCCATACAGTAGAACTGCCTTGACGTTCGTATTGAAGGTTCTGACTTTGATATTGGTTGAAAGTTGTTTTGGGTTCTATATGTTCGTCAATCGTAGGAACGCGGCCCTTGCTTGGCCAATCCTCGCCTTTACGTCTGCATCTGATCCTCAACAGGAATTTCAATTCAAACAACCAACTTAACATAAAAGATATTTTGAAGAACCATTAACCTTAATATGAATGACAATTAAACAGTTATAAATTATATAAATTGTCCCTTAAAAAGCTTTTAATCATGTTACCTAATAAGGATATAAACACTTCAGATTATTTTTATCATATGAAGACAACATACAATATATGGTATTTACCTCATACAATTCATCATAACATAATTAATCTTTTGAATGATAGTGAATGTTTCATACACCTTTTAGTAAATGTTTCTTATCTGATAAACCATATCACACTGCCATTTATTTTTAACAGCAATGATATTTACAAGTAGATATAATCATTCTTCATTGGCGATAAACAAGAATGTTCATGTACAAATCAATGATTCTATATGATTTGTCTCAGTCAGTTAATCAGTCAATCATAAATAAAGTAGAACCTGGGGGAAATTAACAAGATGAATATTAAAGCACTGATAAGAATAGTAGTAGTGTGATAGACACTACTCACAAGATTTCTTGTAAGTAGTACGTAGCGAAGCGTGAAGTCGAAGCTGTCGCAGTCGTCAAACGGGAGGAAGAGTTTCAGTACATTTAAAGCACAGTATACACAAAACACTTGAAGATCAGATAAGAAAACAGTTTGGATTGCGGAACATATTTCAACCAAAAATCATTATGTTAAATGCTCTTAGCAGACATTCCTATAAATATAATAAGTGACGAGAATAGTATTAAGGGTAACAGAAAACTTTATGTTATATCCCGATGAGAATAATGAATGGTAACTGTTGGAATCTATTTCTAGACTAATACTATACATCTATTTTTATTGTAATTGAACTATTCATATTCATGTTCCTCTTATTAGAAGCTTTATTTTGACCCATAAACTATTGTTATACGATTTACCGTTCTTGAATTATTCCAAGTCTACTATTTACAGTCTTCCACATTCACAGCTACTTTTGGCTAAATCTTGTACATATGTTACTTTCTATTCTATGGTGTGATGCAGTCTGTTTGGTTTGTATATAAACCCAGTATGTTTGAAATATACGATGTCGCGGAGTCTAGGACTAGTATTCTGGAGTCAACAGGCAGAAAGCTTATATGATTTTTTCCAACTTTGAAACAGATGAATTATTCCAATCCTTCTATCTGTCCTATCAGCCGTGTGTTTGCTCTAGTCAACTACTTACTTGCAATCTTGATCATCCATGCTAGTGAGCATCTGTCCGTATACTTGTATCTTCTTCAACTACTACTCATGAGGTTGGAGTGTCGACCTTCTCCATCTCTCATCTTCACGTCTGATTGAGTAAACGAGTATTTGAAACAAATTCGTCCAGGTTATTTTTTGTATTTGGCTTTTACTAACTCCGTCGCCCAAACCGGATTAGCTTAAGTAGAATTGATGAGATCAAATGAAGAATTCATATTCATGGATCATTTATCAACCGTTCGTTAGCAAGCCATAAAGCGGCCTTCGACCAGTAGTCTCCTAATTCTCCTCCTCCTCCTCCTCATCATCATCATCTAGTCATATACATGAACAAAAAAAATGATTGTACACCAAACGTTGATATACAAAAAAAACAACCAATAATGTTGACGTAAGATATTACCTCATTAAATTCATTTTCAAATTTATCCCAAGTGAAACAATGAAATAATCCAATTCATTTAATGTAAATGAATCATCACTTGCTGCACAAACACCATGTTTATTCCATCCATGTTCCCTAAAACAAGAAAGACCATAGAGGGGTTTTGTCGGGATTGTAGTAATTTAATAATTGAATTTAGAGTCAAATTGAAGCTAGACAACACCATAGAAAACCCGAAAGTACTGGACGGTAGTGTCATCCTAATATGGGACTAGGATGATCATTGAACGAACAAACAAATTAAATGAATAACTGTCAACTGGGATATTTTATCATTCTAAAGACGATTTCAAACCTGTTGATTTGCTTGTTTCATTATTTGAACAGTTCAGTCAATAACATGACCCTGGTCCGTCCGAGTGAATGAATCCTGAAGAGAAAAAACACTTACTAAACTCAACGGTAACTTAACTGATATGGGTGGAGAATATTTGTACCTCATGTGGATGATTAAAGTGGAGTTTTATTCTCTGAACTAGATGGTTTGATTTCGGAACATTCATTGTTCTTCTGAACAATATCATCAGAACATACTCCAGTTTGTGTAGAACGAGTAAATGTGCTACTATTAATCATTGCATATATAATTTTGTACTTATAAGCGTAATAACGACAAACTAAGTACTTACAAATTATGTATTTAATGGCAAAATCTATGACGTAATAGAACAATTACAATTGCTTTGTCAATAAACGTTCTATAAAACACAGTTTAAAATACAGTAATCCAGATGGAAACCCATGTGATGATATAATAAAAGCACAAAGAAAGTTACTTAAATTTACTAACTAACTGATACTAAAATGAATTCATTACATTAATGGGTCCTTCTGGCCCGCAAACGCCCTGATTCGGCCAAGGGTGAAAAAAGCCAACTCTCCCTCTCGAAATGCTCTCACATGGTCGCCCTTATACAGTCACTGCAAGCGAAGCCTTAATCACTGCCTTCTAGTGACTGGGATGTTGATTACAAAATTAACAACACGAAAAGTGAATTTCTGGCGCTTTAACCAGGATGGTGGACACATAGAGTCCATCGAGGAGAAATGAAAAATCCTCATCTCAAACCACCTGCTAGCATGAGACTGCATCTCTTTACGTTGCTACACTGCCTTGTAGATCAAACCTTTAGGTCAAAGGCTACTGGTGTGAACCCCTTAGAAAACCACTTGTTTTGGTTTCAGCAACCAGTTAGTATCATCCCATACAAAATTCAAGTGACCCGCGTGGCGTATATTTATTCGGTGTCTCTTTGTACTAATATTAATGTGTTCAAATAAATAAAAGCGAGAATTTTAAAGAAGTTATCCATATTCCAAGCTATTTAAATGACATTCATCAATGGATCTTGTTCATAATATTAGCTCAGTTTTTTAAACGGAGTAGATTTATTCAAAGCTTTAATCGATCTATTTTATCACCATTCAATGAAAGCCATAAACGAACTGTTAGAACAGTTATAAACAAAGATCGATAGTGGCTAGTCGTGAAATTCAGTTTGGCTTGCGTTTCTTCCTACTTGTGACTCATCAACTGGATATACCTGCATCTCAGATTTGAGTCCCAGAGTGATCATCAACTGTGATATGCAGGCAAATCCAGCTGACGAGTCAGAAATATGCAATTAACGCAGGTCAAAGTAGATTCGTGAGTCCTAGCCACTTCCCATCTCTGAATAATAATAATGTTACCTTTATTCGTAATGACAGTATAATCATGTTGTGTAAGATGAAAAGTATGCAAACTTTTAAGAACGTGAAACTGTTTAATCACATATGTGAATTTCCTAAATATTATCCACCAGTCAGTCACAATATAGAACCTGGTACGTATGTGCATCGATTTATGTTGTTATACTACATCAGTACAAAGGGATAAAACTGTCAGTCCAAACCCCGGAATAGAAGAAGGAGTAACAGTATGGACGGTAATTGAAAAAATCAGGAACCAAAGATACAATTTAAAAAATATATAAATCAATAAAATAAAAACAAAAAGTTATGAGGAATTCCGAACCACAATATTTGGGGGATGACAAGCAACGGATGCACCTGAGCCAATGCAAACGATTTTGGGGCATTTCATTCAAAGTCTCTTATCATTGGTTATGATAATTATGCGGACGTCAACGAAGTAGTCTGTACCTAATAACATGGCTAAGTTCAATTGGCACTAACTTCATGGACTGATGCCATATTTTGGTTTGGCCTCCCCTAACTCTCCTCCAGCCTACTCCTGCACCATAAAACATTGCTCGTAGAGGTCGGCAGTAGTTGGACATACGTAACACACGTCTCAACCACATCAGTGGATGAAGACTTACAATCTCATCAATCGATTTTCTATCTCTACCTAATACTCTATTCTTAATCCAGGTATTACTTACCTGATGATCCCAAAATACACGAGCAATGCCTCGAAGACACCTAAGATCCAATACTAGTAACTTACGAATATTCTGCATTCCTAACGACCATGTTTCACACAAATAAAGTAGGACGGAGCGAACTACTGCGCTGTAAACTCATCCTTTGGTTAAGAGACAGATACATCATCTACACTACAAGTGACGCAAGTTGGCAGAAGCTATTCGAGACCTACTGAAACGAAACAAGAGAATTTATATTTGTCTAAGTTTACATCCATTACAAATAATCTGAATTCAGCAATCAATATCAAGTGAATACTGTTTACCACAAAACATCAAATGTTGCCCATTATTTGACATTGTAATTAAAATATCATTGACACTAATTAGGTAGGGTAAATTGTAAGGCTAATTTACGTCGCAGTTGAGAAACACTTACAAAACAATGTAGATGTTTTTTACCTTCACAATGCATAATTAAGAATTTAGTGACCGAATTACATTGACTTAGCAACGTATAAGAACTATGGTGTCACGTACAATCATTTTGTTTGAGACCTTGGTCTAATTGTAAAACCCTGCGTGCAACCATTAGCCTAAGAAGCTTGGTCCAATTGTCCCTTAAGGTCTACCAGTCACGTTCTCCGGTCGTTAGGACTACTGCTAATTTGATCTCCTATTTAAGCATCTTGATAAGTACACTTCCACAGTGTGGGCAAAATGGAATAGATAGTCGGTACTGCAGTCTAAAGAAAATTGATGTTCCCTGTGGGAATCAAGCCCGTGTCACCTAGCTTCACAGTTCAAGACGTTACCATTGAGCTGTTTTATCAGAAGCGCCTAAAGAAAGACAAAGTTTATAAATTACATCATTCATATTGTCGCGTGTGGTGGACATTCGACAACAGATTCCTCATCAAGTATCATCTGTAAGATACAGCCATACATCGCATCACGTTGATGAAGGCTTAGTCATAATATATCCCTTAATTTGAGTTATGTGGACAAGACCATTGAACTGAACGTAATCTCCCGTTAGATTATCCAATCTTGTAAGAATGACTTGTTTTTCGTGTTCAACAAGTCATCAGCTGATAATCTGCAACCAAAGAATAAATGTGTCACTTAAAACTAGTTGGATTGCTAAACCCTCACTTGTACCCAGAGTTAAATCTGTATTTCATACAGGTGTTTGTGTTGTAGCAACAATCTTTGGTCATGAACTTTACAAGCTGGAGATGTTGGTTGTACTCCAGCTGGTAATAAAACACTCTCAGGGCTGATGTTATAATCGCCGTAAGCAAGAAATATATTTTCCTATCCCTCTCGTTCAATGTGACATAGTGAACTGAAGGAACAACCACATATTATACCTACGAAAGCAAAATGGTTCACACATTCATGATCAAAAACATTTACTTTATGCTGCTAACATAAACTTGATTAAGAATCGTCTTTAGAATAAAAAATCTGGGTAGTCAGATTGAAAAAGCCTGTCTAAGTTAACTGATCATTTAATCTTTCTTAGATGGATTATTTTTTATCATTATTCTAATTTACGTACTGAGTACAATATTATGAGGTCCAAGTGAACTTCTGCGTGACGTTGTCATAAAAGACAGGTCTTCTCCAATGAATTTTTGTAGTAGGATTATAATATCTAAGATAATCAGACTACATTATGAACCTAATATTTCCATGATCACTAAAAGTTTTTAACAGGATCTGTATACAGATAAACAATATAGAGCTTTACTTGAAATCTTTTGGATTGTGAAAGTCATTCAGATTAGCCCATCGTTTCTGTAATTCACCATAAATCGGCTAAAGAGTAGAGACAATAAAAAAACATGGATTAATTGAATGTACAAACTGAAATATTTGAATCAGTCTAGTTTCTTGACTTTTATACGTCTTAAAGGTGTCACTTCATTAAACTATGTAATCTTTCATAAGCTATTTGATAATATTATTATTATCATTTGAGCGTTCTGATTTTGATTTTGCTTGTCTCTACCACACTACATCACACACTATAAATTTTAATCGAATGACCAATTACAATCTTACAGCTTCGACGCTCGTCATTATCATATCTATCATCACTTCACACAACAATTACTTGTATTGTATTGTGTTGCCGACAATTAGTTGATAGCTTTCCTCTTTGACAGTGACATATGAAGACACATGAAGACAAAGTGAAGGGATTAAAATTTGATTGTTGTTCCACTGTGTCACACCACTTTCTTTACGACGAAGTGTCAAAATCTTTGAAATGTTTCACTCATCAAGATCTGCATTTTGGACGAAAATTGTTTAGGTGACATGGTGAGAATTTATGACGTGAATTGCGACATTCTTGGTTTTCGTTATCTAATCTACACATACAATTCAGCCTAAGTTACCAAAAAACAAGTAAAAGTAGTTCGTCTATGTCCTCAGTCAACGGTTTTCTGATTAAGAAGTGATAAATGCACAGGTGAAAAATTTCTTTTACTTCTAAAACTGCTCAAAGTATAGGAACTGTCCTAAAACCGATTTTGATTACGGTTAATTTCAGTTAAACCCTTTCATTAAATTGTTATCAGACAACGTTATTTAAATGGGAACAATTCATCTATTTCTTTGTACTGTCGTAGTGAACAAGAACACCAGTGTGGAGCATTTAAATGTTATTAACACAGAATTACAGGTTTTGTTAATTAAATGTGACAATCATCAAGTAAATGCTTAATTCGCAAAATGTACACCAATTTTGTTATACGACTGAGACTTCAATGTTCTTGCATTTTCATACAAATTGCATTCTGTTTCCATTCTTTACTCTTTGATCCGCTTGTATCTCTGCTGCCAGACATTTTGTTCACGAGTTACATCACATACTACTTATCTCGATATAAGTAGCACACACAACACTATCATCCTCAATAGAACACATGACTTACTCTGGCTAAAATATTTATCGCTTAACATTCGCTCGATGATTCATTCTCTTCCTCATGTATATATGAACTCGGATTATATTATCAGACTTTGCTTTGCCTCGCTGTGCCTTCGTGTGATTTTACCATACATTTGCCTCTGTATTGGCTCGCACACACACATTCGCCCCTCCGCTTCAAATTTGCTGGATCTGATTATATATTTGCGATTTATGCCATCCGTTATTATTCTGTAGTTTCCGCTGCTCATTGCCTTATGATTTCAAAGGTCCTTGAGGTTCATATGATCATCATTATCTAAGTGACTGATCAACTAGTCTATGACACTTCAATAAGAACATTCGAATAAGTCACATGTTCATTTCAAAACATGAGATTAGATTCGTCAAACTTGAAACTCCTTCACTAATCTATGCATCAGATAACCATCAGTTTAATCGCTCCTATGTGTATCGGCCAGTTCATTTATTTTGCTTGACGAAGGAGCGTAGGTCGTTAACATCATCGGAGACATTAATAGCGACTGGTGTGCCCATAATGAGAAAATTTTGGCTATGATTCATTTAGTTGAATGTTTTAATGTAATTTGAACACTTGAATAAATCACATGTTCATTCCAAAGACGTCTATGGAGTCGTCATCTCAAATTCTCAGGTATATCAGCATAAGTATGCATTCGGTCTATAAATGATGAATGTTTACGACAGAGAAATAGGTTTCTTCTTTAAGTTCAACATTCAGTTAGTTAGTATTATGTAATTTTGAAATACTTCATTTCTGAAATTCGATGTTTAAAGAGGATAACTAATCGAAATTATTTCTCATATTATCATGACACTTAGTTGTCAATAATAATAATATCACCTCATTCAATTATTTCAGTGCTTCTCAAAGTTAAGACGAAACTGTTTATGTTGGCCTTCAAATGAATCATGTTTATGCTTTTGTTGCGGTTGTTAGAATTTTTGCGCTTGCACAAATCGGACGGTAATTTCTTTAAGACGAATATCTACACTAGATTCATTCAAATTGTCTACTCAACATGACTTCAATACATTTGAGAACAAAAGTACGTGATTATTCAGATTAGAACGTAAATATATTTCCAAACGGAAAACCGGCAACAAGCCCATGCAATCTAACAACAATCTGTAATAACAAAAATAGGCGAAAGAGAATATATAACTCATTCAACGCATTTTCGTCTTCCGAAATATATTTGAAAGGTTGTTTTTTTAATTCATCGATACGCCGTTCATTATAGAATTATCAAATGAGTACACCAGCTGATCTCTGAGCAGCAACCAACTTTAGGATTATATGGTTTCACTGTTGATTAGATTCTACCATTCTAGTTATAAAATAACGAATTAAATAAATTCTTAGAAGAAATATCGTGACGTGGTTGGATTATAAGAAAACTGGAGTTGATCTTATTTTCACGATCAGTAAACGAACGAGAGTTCAAATAGTTGAATATGAACAATTCTATCTGTAACACTGACTGGAGTTGGTTTAGAATACCAAAATCAGTTTCCACCTTGCGGATCATCTATTTGAAATATAATATGCGGACTACGCCGTGTCACAAAACAAAGAACAACGATTGTGCACGATCAAGCTGAATTGTGGTTGTGACTGTGGGTGACTGCAATTAGGAAAATGAGCATGAAATAAAAAGCCTAAGTCTTGAAATAATAGCCTGATAGTCTCAACGGAACTTCTAATAAGCACAATATGAATATATATAATCTAGTTGCTGAATAGTTGTACAATAAAATAGCGCATTTGATATTAGCCCATTAATGGTTCCCAGAAACTACCCACAATTCAATACTCCTTAGAATATAACAGTAAGAGAATCTGACGAGTTTCTTGAGCTTTATTTAGCTCTGTTGAGTAGTCGGGATAGAAGTGGACGCGCGATCGGTATTCTTCACTACTGAGACGTTCACCATTTCAATAACATTCGATTCTTGAAGCCGTTCGAGTTCTTATTCAGTCTATGTGTAGGCACCACGTGGTCAGATCTTTTAGATCAAAACAGCAACTTCGAATCTGAACGAAGCGTACAAGTAGCTTTCCATTGATTGAAATCTGTCAGTCCCTCAAGAAACCCTTATTAATATTTTTTTAATAATGACTACATTGAGTTTTCCTCTTCCACTTATGGTTTACTGACGTTGTTCCAGATAGTGTTTTTGAGAAATTCTGTTAACTTCAGACTAATTATCCAGTAAAGTCTCAACAAATCAAGTGATGTACATGTTGTCAACTAAATTAATCCTTTTTCCGTAATTCCCCTAACCGTGACTTCGTAAACCCCTTGACTATATTTCGAAATGTTTTTTTACATTCAGTGTTCACTAATACCGCAGATGCACTACATGTTTAGTAGTGTTATGTCGGATGTGGTAAGCAGTTGTAAGCGAGTCTCGTATCTAATAATATCGAGAAAAACATGGATTCTATGGTAACGAGAACCAGCTCTCCTCAGAGCTCTCTTTACTTTGGCTGATCGAGGCATGTATTTTTTAGAACAAACTCTCCATTGTTCATTGCGTTTTTGGCTTATAACTTTTCCTGGAACATGTTGACGAGTTACAGTATGGAAGTTGCAAACGAAGTTACTGTAGACAGATTAGTGAAATTTATAAACCTGTGGCAATGGTACTAAGAACTAGTAAATATTAAAGGACTTTTGAACGCAATATCTTTATTCTGCGAATAGCTCACTTCTGCATAGTGGTATGCTGTAATATGAGGTTTACAAAAACGTCGTATACCAAAAATATTAAATACTTGGTGTGATCGAATTATATACACGGCTAGTCTCAGTGAATATATATAAATCTTTAGTACAAAAAAGCAGTAAATCATCCAACAACATAGTTAAACTCGCCGGAATTATTTTCGGGATGTAGTTTATTCAGTATATTTGACATACTTATGGCCATTAGCATCGAGTAGTAAAGATCCAAAAACATCCAGATAAAACAAGGTGTATGTCAACTAACTCCAGGACGCTGCAAGTTGTTGATCTTTTTGTCATACATTCGAGTCACAAAAATTGAATGAGTCCAGTTCATTATATGGCTAACATTGCATGAAATATCGAAAATGACATAAAGATTGCAGAACAAATATGGCTTAAACTGATTGTATGTTTCTGGAGTATTGCCAATGTTGTTTGGCAATGGAACTGCAAGATTAGTAATCAAGCCGGCAGTGGTCGGAAAAATGATGTTACAGGATGGTGCATAGTTTAAAAAGAGCGAAATGTCAGGTGCAGAATTAGGTTTTGCTTACCATTCAATCCATGCTCACGTTGCTAGACGATGTCTGTTTACGTAATTTAATGACTGATGTATTATTGACTTTCTTTTACCGAATCATGTATGTGCCATTCAAGCTTCTTAACGAACCATCAAAGACATAGTTGAGCTATCAAGTAAGGAGCACTAAGACCTTATAGAAAAATTGTAGATATTTTAGACGTGCAATTCGCATCATCGTTTACAATGACTCAATCTATCACAAGAATAATCAATGTGACTTTAACCACTTCAGAACACATTTTTGCTGGAGAGAGAACAATATGAATAAAAGAGGCAAGTTACAAAAGAATCACAACGCCTGCAAACCTGAGTCATGTTATCCAGTACACGAAACATGATATGAACTAGGTCATCAGGCCGACTGATCACAGTCTCATGGTCAATACACATGCGATGAGTCATTTGGTGATGTCAAGCTGCATCGGAATTACTAATGCCGGCACGATTAATCGATAAAATGAGGACATGAAAACTAGATGATTCTGTGATAAAACAATTACTAAACACATTTGAATTTAAATGATAAATGATGACAGTGTTTATTCATAGCCGAAGCAAGACATTCTATGAATCGACATGCAACCTATTTGTTTTTTATTCATGTTGTTTTCAGAAAATCAGCAATCGTTAGATTACTGAAAATCTTAAAAATCTCCGCTCCGTATGCGTTGGTGATTGTCACTCATATGAATGCATCATTACAGATCGACATTCCTTATTCTACTTAAGATTCATATCACGCTCACTACATAATAGAGAACACCATATTATATTGATCAGTTAAACGGTAAACGGTGACAGAGAACAAGAGCGTATGATC